TCCACCGGCCCCAGATCTGTATGAACACACAGGGGGACACCCTTCCACCGGCCCCAGATCTGTATGAACACAGGGGACACCCTTCCACCGGCCCCAGATCTGTATGAACACACAGGGGACACCCTTCCACCGGCCCCAGATCTGTATGAACACACAGGGGACACCCTTCCACCGGCCCCAGATCTGTATGAACACACAGGGGACACCCTTCCACCGGCCCCAGATCTGTATGAACACACAGGGGACACCCTTCCACCGGCCCCAGATCTGTATGAACACACAGGGGACACCCTTCCACCGGCCCCCCAGATCTGTATGAACACACAGGGGACACCCTTCCACCGGCCCCAGATCTGTATGAACACACAGGGGACACCCTTCCACCGGCCCCAGATCTGTATGAACACACAGGGGACACCCTTCCACCGGCCCCAGATCTGTATGAACACACAGGGGACACCCTTCCACCGGCCCCAGATCTGTATGAACACACAGGGGACACCCTTCCACCGGCCCCAGATCTGTATGAACACACAGGGGGGACATCCTTCCACCGGCCCCAGATCTGTATGAACACACAGGGGACATCCTTCCACCGGCCCCAGATCTGTATGAACACACACGGGACATCCTTCCACCGGCCCCAGATCTGTATGAAACACACAGGGGACACCCTTCCACCGGTCCCAGATCTGTATGAACACACACGGGACACCCTTCCACCGGTCCCAGATCTGTATGAACACACACGGGGACACCCTTCCACCGGTCCCAGATCTGTATGAACACACACGGGACATCCTTCCACCGTCCCAGATCTGTATGAACACACACGGGGACATCCTTCCACCGGTCCCAGATCTGTATGAACACACAGGGGACATCCTTCCACCGGCCCCAGATCTGTATGAACACACAGGGGACATCCTTCCACCGGTCCCAGATCTGTATGAACACACGGGACATCTGGGTGCTGAACATATAAACATGTGCAATCAGATCTCCGAGTGTGCCCCATGGTGTATGTTCACTGCTAATTACTGATCTTTTCTAGTAAAACCAAATGTGGGTTCTCTGTGTCTTCTCAGAGATTGATGGAGCTTGTGGGTCTGCTCCGATGAGTGTGATGGCCCATAGACATAACATGATTTGGCCATTATTGGCACAACCATTCACAATGTATCTAAAGCCAATACATTTATATTTCAGTTACAACTGCTGTCTTTTTTTTTTTTTTTTCTCCATGTGTCTTGAGTAACTTTTTCACTTCTTGTCCTGTAGACTTACTAATATCGTTCCAATGTGAGGGAAAATCCCCTCTAGGGGCTTGTTCTGGGTATGAAACCTGCATTGTGTGTGCTTTTCCCACACCATGTTCCAAACCACTGGGTGTGCGATCTGCGGGTGGGAATAAATTCCTAACACCCCAAACGCAGATCGCTAACAGTGCGTTTGCATGCATTGGATCACATGCTACCTCAGTACCATGTGATCCAGTTGCAGTTTGCATTTCAAGTAGCGCATGCTCACTTTTAGTGCGATCCAGTGTGATTTAAGCTTGTTCTAATGCAGGGCTTGACAAATTTGCTTTAAATCTAGGTGTCGGTTAAAAAAGTTTGAAACAATTTTTTTTTTTTTTTTTTTTTTTTTAGCAAAGCTTTTTCAACTACAAATCCCTTTTATGTAGCCAGAAGCCAGGCAGCTAGTTTCTATTAAAGGGGCATGACTGAAAAAGGTCTGCCGATCGGCAACTGGTCAGTGCTCTGAGCCGATGGCTGAGATCGCTGACCGATGTGTTCTGGTGGGGGGGCCAGCAGTCTGCCTGTCAGAACACACTAGCACATCAGGGAGATCGCTGCACTAACAGCGAGATGTTGGTACAATGAGCTCCTTTTTTTTTTTTTCTTTTTTTCAGCCTGCTTAGTTGAACTGCTAGTGTGTCCTAGGCTTAAGCCTCTGATTGGCAGCTCACAGCCTTTTATTATTGGATGTACACTCTAACTGATGCCACAGGTTCTATGTGCTGTGTATAAAAGCTCAGGTACCACCTAAGATCTGTACCTCCTACAATGAGGAGCAAGCTGGGCTCTTCCACAGGGAACACTCATTCGTCATCCTTCAGTCATATTAGCTCCTTGGTGTTGTCCCGTATAATTCCAACGCAGTGATCGGTAATGATGAACCACAGATGTAGCCATAATGGTTCTATTAAAACCAAGTGTATGAAATCGTGAAATACACAATAATTGCTCCGACTTCAAGTGCCCTTTCCCCTGTCTTGTCATTGACCCCGGAATCAGACATGCGTCTTGTCAAGGAAACGGTGATGGCTGCTGGTATGCGGACTGGCCCTATAATATTTGATAATATATAAATGTCGGAAATCCAATCTGCTCATCACAGGACCCTCTGCAGATCGCAAGGCTCTGGGGGCCCCTGTCATACTGCAATCCTGCCCTCTAATCAGCCAAACAGTGATGACATCCTATCAGATGCCTTCATTATTATCTTCATTAGCAGAGTCACTGTATTCAGGCAGATGTGGATGTCATGGCTGCAGAATACAATAACTGGAGGTGGAGATTTCTACATTCACGCAGCTTGGCACAGATTGGAATTTTTTTTGTTTTTTGTCTTTTCGTTCAGTCTGCTAGCTTGATGAAGAAAATCAGATAGCAATTGGCCAGCTTTAGGTTCCCTTAACCTTTCCATTCTAGTTTGCTATGTTAATGTGACACGAAACACATTTAAAGTGGAACTAAAGTCCACTTTTGAACTTGTAACTACAGGCAGGCCTATAAGGCTCACCTGTAGGTACAGTGAATCTCCTAAACTTTCTCTGTTTAGCAGATATTCACATGGGATGCAGTCAATGAGTTTTCCTGTGCATTCACTCTGAAGAGACGGCATGCCCATGTCTTGCCTTCAAAGCTCCGTGCCGGGGCTCCCATGTGCTTCTGTGGGACCCTGACCATTCATACAGCCAGAGCCTGCAAACCCGGAAGGAAGACCAGGTAAAGATGGAAGCACCCTGGAGCCATGACATCCATGCACCGGAGGGATCCGTGTGCAGGTAACTGTCATTATGTGGTGCCAACTAGTACATTATGACTTTACCCTGCAGGGGACCTGATTTTATTTTTTTTGTGATGTTTTACTACTGCTTTAAGCATTTTTATTCAAGTATTCTTAGGTTAAAAAATACCTTCTGTTGTTCTCAGACTCCTTTAAATCCCCAAATTCCTCTTTTTTTTTTTTTTTTTCTTCTGTGATCTGACTTCCTGTTAGAGGGTGGCTATGTTCATTCCCAATGATCCCACTATATGTAGGAACATATCCACCCTCTTCCTCACTTCCAAAGTCAGCTGGAACTATTGTGTTTGTATTGTGCCGTGCGCTACTCATGCCAAACGAACAGAAGTAAAGGGAGGAGGCAGAGAAAAAACCGTAAGAAACACCACATCTCAACGACGCAGTGATGGCTTTAATGTAGAGTAGATCTAAACCTATAGATTTGAATTTTTTCCCCTCTAAAATCAACTGAGGCATTGTTGCGTGTGGAATTCAGCAAAGACTCCTTGCTATCGTAGTAATGAAACCAGACAATGATGTCCACTGTAAGATATGGGACGGGAAGGGGGAGACAGAGCAGAGTGGTGTATTACATCCGCCTCGCAGCCCGCCCGATCATCCGGTTCTGCCATCAGGGTTGCATGGTCGCTCGAGGCTGGCGATGCGGCCTGCGACACATACCGATCCATATGTGTAGGCTGCAGCTACTTGGCGGGTGACGAAGGGTACTTCTGATGCCCAATTTTGCCCATTGGGATCTGCAAAGATCACTGAGTCCTGTACTGATGCTTCTTTGCGAATGTAAGCTGTTGTAGGCTCTGGAGGAGCTGGAAGAGAGCGGTGAAGCGGGGCTAGTGCACATCCGCCATTTTCAGTCTCTGCACATGTGCCCCTAAACCAGGGGTCTGCAACCTTTAAGACATAAAGAGCCACTTGGACCCGTTTCCGAGAGGGAAAAAAAAGACTGGGAGCCGCAAAACCATTGCAACATTTAAAAACAAATCCGACACTGCATATATTGCAAAAAGCGCTCTGGTCATGAAGGGGGTTTAAGGGCCCAGTAAGCAAAGGGTTAATCAGGGCCACAGTGTATCATCATAATCACAATCATAGCCTTAGGTCAGTGGTGGGCAACCTTTTTTTTTCAACTGAGCCGAATCTCGCCAAAACCACGATTAAAATTTATTTTGAGAGCCACATTTTTAAAACTGAAAATACATCCCCCATATAGTAATTCATCCCCCATATAGTAATTCATCCCCCTATAGTAATTCATCCCCCTATAGTAATTCATCCCCCCTATAGTAATTCATCCCCCCTATAGTAATTCATCCCCCCTATAGTAATTCATCCCCCCTATAGTAATTCATCCCCCCTATAGTAATTCATCCCCCCTATAGTAATTCATTCCCATATTGTGTCAATTCACTTACCTGTACTCCGCGCGTTTCTCTCGCCGTGTTCCCGCGCAGTTCTGGTCTTCAGGGCGGACTGTGAGAGGAGAGGAGTTCGTCACGCTGCCCCGCCTACATCCTGACAGCCAATGTTTGCCACGCTCCGCGGGCCGGATTATAAGGTCCGCCGGGCCGTAGTTTGCCCATTGCTAGGCTAGCTGCAGAGTCCTGACTTTTGGGGCGGCCGCCCGAGAGGAGGGAGGGGAGCGGGCGCCCGGCACACAGAAGAGCTGCATTAACCTCCCTGGCGGTATGATTCCTTCCGATTTTTTGTGCTGAAAGCGGTACCATTTTTTCGCATGGAAATAGTTTTTTATTGTAGGCTGTAATTTTTAGGAAAATTTCCCCACAAATCATCACTCAATTCTGCAAGTGGTTCTGATTTACTATCGCTGTTCTCTAGCCGGTCTAAAACCGCTTTTGACCTAAAGGGACGCTTTTTGGACGCCATGGACTTTTCTAAGTTTCCAGGCAGAAAGAACAGACAAAATGCAGGCAGGGCACAGGACAAAGCACTAGGGACAATATGTATGTGAAATGGGATGAAACAGCAATGTTTTACTATTGAAAATTGAAATAAAAAGACATTTTTTAAATTTCCCGCCGCCGCCGGCGCCCGTACGTCCCGGGGACCGGAACACAGAAGCCGGATGCCGGCATCGGCCGGAGGAGATGGCCGGGGACGCTGCAGGGGACACATCGCGGGAACGAAGGACAAGGTAAGTGCTGCAGGGACCCCCAGAGCAGCGCCGCATGGTAAGCCTGAGTGTAGCTCGTGGTATAGAAATTCTACCACGAGCTACACTCGGGAAAACCGCCAGGGAGGTTAAAAGAGCCGCGGCTTGCCGACCACTGAGCTACGGCAACCCTATTGCCTGTCACCTGGTGGGCAGTGTGCTCCGGAGCTGCAGCAAAGGTGAAAAAGAGCCACATGCGGCTCTGGAGCCGCGGGTTGCCGACACCCGCCCTAAACCCATAGATTCAAAGGATAAGTTCACCTTTTAAAAAGCATTTTTTTGCAGGTAAAAAATGTGCATTTTTTTTTTTAGAAGCCTATAAAGCATTGCACCCACGATCAGCAGATTGTGGGTGCAGTGTCAGGATCTTGCAGACTGTAGCTGTCTAACTGTACCTTGTAGTTCACTAAGGGCTACAAGCTGTCTGCTGCAAAGGCTGTGCCTGTACTTGTTTGTTCATTCGCATTACAATGAATGAATGCCGTGGCCCTTTAGGCAGAGCCCTGAATGGTCACGCTATTTTCAAATTTTGACAGCGGGTTCAAGGAGAAGGGCCTTGGCCTGCTGTCACGAGGAGAGGGTGGGATCAGGGAAGAGCTGCAGGAGGGTGTGTGTGCCAGAGGCAGGCTGGGATTGGCAGGGGGCGTGTGCCGGAGGCAGGCTGGGATTGGCAGGGGTCGTGTGCCGGAGGCAGGCTGGGATTGGCAGGGGGCGTGTGCCGGAGGCAGGCTGGGATTGGCAGGGGGCGTGTGCCGGAGGCAGGCTGGGATTGGCAGGGGGCGTGTGCCGGAGGCAGGCTGGGATTGGCAGGGGGCGTGTGCCGGAGGCAGGCTGGGATTGGCAGGGGGCGTGTGCCGGAGGCAGGCTGGGATTGGCAGGGGGCGTGTGCCGGAGGCAGGCTGGGATTGGCAGGGGGCGTGTGCCGGAGGCAGGCTGGGATTGGCAGGGGGCGTGTGCCGGAGGCAGGCTGGGATTGGCAGGGGGCGTGTGCCGAGGCAGGCTGGGATTGGCAGGGGGCGTGTGCCGGAGGCAGGCTGGGATTGGCAGGGGGCGTGTGCCGGAGGCAGGCTGGGATTGGCAGGGGGCGTGTGCCGGAGGCAGGCTGGGATTGGGAGGGGGCCTGTGCCGGAGGCAGGCTGGGATTGGGAGGGAGCATGTTACATCTTCCCCCTAAAATGGACATGTGATATATTACCAAAGGTGAACTTATCCTTTTATATGCTTCCCAAAACAATTTCATTCATTCAAAGCCATGCTGTGAATTACTGTCAGTTTTTTTTTTTTTTCCCCAAACACAATTTTATTGAAACTTCTCTTTCAGTCATGCAGGAGTTTTGTTACACTTTTCAGAAAGAGCACCAAAACCTCATAATAGAATTCTATGAGAAAGCGCAGCTTGCCGCACTGACGACGCAGGTACACAAAGTGCAGTAGGGGTGAAACGCGCTTATACTTGTCTGTGCTTGCTTCTGACATATCTTGCTAAGGACTTCACTGCCACCACTGTAAAGTCTCATGACCAGGCAGCTTCAGCCTTTGGTAAAAGCCTCTTGTAATGTATCCCAATTCCATGCACCCAACGTGGGAGACTTTGCAGTGGAGTTTGTACGTCCTCAGAGTGAAGATCTGGCAGTAGTGAGTACCACTGAGTTTGTTTTATATTGCTAAGTTTTAGTACAAGTGATTCACTTTTAAAGGTCATTTATACTTGGTGAGCTTGGGTGTATTATGATAGTTCTTTTAGTGGTATGACTTCCACAAGTGAATCACTCCTAATAAATTTTAATTCCATAAAATGACGTCTGTTTACTAGTGAGGATGGAATGAGGAAATAGTCAAATGAGCTATGGCTTGAAAGATCAAACAGTCATCTATGTGCTGAACCTATGACTTGGGTGAACTTTCAAGTTCTATAAGTTTCAGTGATCCAAACTATTCAAATCAGGGCCTGCCCTCGATGGTGCTTAGAAACACATCTCTACCAAAGGCACACTGAAGTCTGTATGATCTACAGCCAAATTTGCAAGCCAGAGAAATCACCAGCATATGATTATCACTGGGCAGCACAGTGGCTAAATGGTTAGCACTTCCGCCTGGCAGTACTAGGGTCGTTGGTTCGAATTCCAACCACGGCACCACCTGCCTGGAGTTTGCATGTTCTCCCTGCACCTGTGTGGGTTTCCTCCGGGTACTCCGGTTTGCTCCCACACTCCAGACATGCTGGTAGGTTAATTGGATCCTGTGTAAATTGTCCCTAGTATGTGTATGTATGACTGTGAGTTAGGGACCTTAGATTGTACACTCCTCGGGGGCAGGGACTGATGTGAATGTACAATATATATGTAAAGCGCTGCGTAAATTGATGGTGCTATACAAGTACCTGAAATAAATAAATCACAGGGGACAGAAGAATATAGTGGAAACCTTGTTTAAGGAAGAACCCATAAATTCCATGCTCTGTTAAAACCGTATATGTATAGATAAAGCTTTTCAGGCCTATTCAAACCAGGTATTTGCAGTAAATGTTAAAATACTGAAGCAAAACCTAACTTACCTTAACCTCCCTGGCGGTCTAACTAATCAATATTTTTGCATTTCAAAGCGGTACATTTTTTTGCATAGAAATGTTTTGTATTGTAGGCCTGTAATTCTTAAGAATAACTCACTTAAATCTGTCCAAACGAGTCTAGTAAACATCCCGGGTATGATAAAGTTTGAAACAAGAAATCATAAATTATAATATAATAAATAATTATAAAAAATATCATTTAATTCAATGTAATCAAACCAAAAACACTAAAATTTGAAATAGAGCACCAAGTTCGCACATCACTGAGCCCAGTCGCAGATTTGTCGTTGTCACTTTCAGTGTTTGATGATGAATTTCCCCACAAATCACTATTGCTCAATTCTGCAGGTGATTCTAATTCGCTATCGCTGTTTTCTAGCTGGTCTAAAACTGCTTTTGACCTAAAGGGACGCTTTTTGGATGTCATGGACGTTAAGTTTCCAGGCAGAAAGAACAGTAAAAGTGCAGGCAGGGCCCAGGACAAAGCACTAGGGACAAAATTAGGTGAAATGGTTTGATACAGTAATGTAATACGAACAGATTACAGTGTATTGTGTGCATGTCAAATTTTTACGATTTTGAATCTCCCGCCGGTTTCTCACTGGGGAGATTTCACTTTGCTTTCTGTCCAGGAGATATTACAAAAGTCAGGAATTTCGTATCAGCAAGATGTCCCTATCAGAGGGGCACCCCCCACTGGATCTTCCTTCAACTTCTGTTTCAATGATCATGCTAAAAAATGTTTGCTACCCTGACAGGGTTTCTTTAACCCATTATAATCAGATGCTTTCAGCCCCTTCCTGCCCAGGCCAATTTTCAGCTTTCAGTGGTGTCACACTTCGACAGTTACATAGTCATGCAACACTACTATTGAAATTTGTATAATTTTGCTCGCACAAATAGAGCATTCTTTTGTTGGTATTTCATCACCATTAGGTTTATTTCTTGCTAAAACGAAAAGACCAAAATTTTGAATAAAAATGTTTCATCGTCCTAACATTTTGCAAATCTGTCTTCAGAAATTTAGGCCAAATTGTATTCTGCTATGCTTCTTTGATAAAAAATAACCCAAATCAGTGTATGTTTAGTCTGTACTAAAGTTAGTCCACAAACTATGGTGTGTGTGTGTGTTTGTGTGTATATATATATATATATATATATATATATATATATATATATATATATATATATATATAAAATCTCTGAAAATCAATCTTGATGTACTGACAGCCATTCAAATTTCTTGAGGTCTGTCAAGATTTATTTTTTTTAATTTTTTAGATTTTTTTAATATGCTGTGACCAGGGCAGTACTGTTACCATAGTGACGTTGTACTACTCTGGGGAGGTGATTAGGATTTTTTTTTAATACACACGGATTTCTTATAATGGAGATAATCTCTGTTATAACCATTTGTTATGAATTAATCAATTCTTCCTGTAGTGATTTGCCACAGCTAATCTCATGGTACAGATGGGCTGTGATTTGTCCTGTCGTGACCCCTGTGACCAATCACAGCAAGTAACAATGAATGGACGCCATTCATTGTGTACACTTGCCATGTGATTTGTTGACTGGTCGCAGTGATCACATGGTAGTGTCAGCGGCCCAGTACACAGCAAGTGACAGATCGTGCCACAGCGTGGCCTGATCCTGCGACAAACAGTGCTAGCTCAGCAGTCATTTGACTACAGGTTGGGTGGGAAGAGGTTAAAGTTGCAATGTTTTTTATACCTTCATTCTGTGCAGCATCCCCCAGTCCCTCCTAATATAAGCCCCCTCTCGATTCAGCAATGTGCACTGGAGTCTTGGCTGTCCTGGGATGCCCTCTCCTCATTGGCTGAGGCAGCAGAGTGAGACTTTGGCTGTCAATCACAGCCAGTGAGTTAATGAGAAGAGGGGGCGGAGCCATGACTCAGTGTGGGAATGGACACATGGAGCAGCGAGCTGCTTGCTGTAGTGGGGGCATCTGACAGAAGGGAGGAGCCAGGAGCGCAGGTGGGGGCCCCCGTAGAAGGATCTGGGCTGCTCTGTGCAAGACCACTGCACACAGCAGGTAAGTATAGACATGTTTGTTTTAAAAGAAAAACAAAAAAGTAAGCCTTTAGAATCACTTTAAAGTGTATCCGTGGTCTAAAATCATATTACTTTTCACTGGATTTTAGTTGTTTCTAGCCTACTCCTGTTGATATACCGTATTTTTCGCTCCATAAGACGCAACTGACCATAAGACGCACCTAGGTTTTAGAGGCAGAAAACAGGAAAAAAAATATTCTAAACCAATGGACTGCGGACATAGTACAGGAGATGCGGACAGGAGATGACAGGGACTGCGGACATAGTACAGGAGATGGACCAGAGACTGCGGACATAGTACAGGAGATGGACCAGAGACTGCGGACAGCACAGGAGATGACCAGAGACTGGGGACAGCACAGGAGATGACTGCTGACCTTTGGGGAGGGGGGAGCGGGTCCTTGAATTTGACAGGTACCCGCTCTTACTTCTGCGGAGTTTTTTTTGGTTAGTGTCCGCTCTGCATTGGGACCTTACCTGTTCCTCTATCCAGCGCCGCGCTGTCTTCCCGCCTTTTTGTAGTGTGGGCGCTCGGCTTGACAGCCAGGTGCCCAGTGCGCATGAGCGAGAAGCGCTGCGCTTTGTGATTGGTCTGGCAGCTTTTGGGACCTGTCGTGTCCCAGGTGCCGCCTTACCATTCACAAAGCGCACTGCTTCTCGCGAATGCGCACTGGGCACCTGGCTGTCAAGCCGAGCGCCCACACTACAGAAGGCGGGAAGACAGCGCGGCGCTGGATAGAGGAACAGGTAAGGTCCCAATGCAGAGCTGAGCGGCCGGCCCTGTATTCTGACGCGGCGGTGAAAATACCAGACCGGCCACTCCATATTCGCTCCATAAGACGCTCTGACACTTTCCCCCCTTTTTTAAGGGGAAAAAAGTGCGTCTTATGGAGAGAAAAATACGGTTATTGATCTTGAAAACTTTTGCTTTGAAGAATCCCACAAGTTTCTTAAATTCTGTGACATTCACTTAATCTTGTGAGTGGTCACTGCCATGCCAGAGATTTCTGAGCATGCACTCTGAACTGCAGAGTTGCTGAGAGGAGTTTCAGGAGGTGGAGTCGGTACAGGAATCAGATTGTAGGCAACAAGGTGCCATCAGATAGGTTGTCCTTAGAAGTAGAAAGTAAACAGCAGAAAAGCTGCAAAGCAAGCAGGAAGACAGCAAATTGTAGAAAGATGGCCAGCAGACAGGCAGCAATCATTTATTTTATTTATTTCAGGTACTTATATAGTGCTGACAATTTTACGCAATGCTTTACATATATATTGTACATTTCCATCAGTCCCTAACCCTCAAGGGGTGTACAATCTAAGGTCTCTAACTCGCATCCATACATACACATACTAGGGCCAATTTAGACAGGAGCCAATTAACCTACCTGCATGTCTTTGGAGTGTTGGAGGAAACCGGAGTACCCGAGGAAACCCACGCAGGCACAGGGAGAACATGCAAACTCCAGGCAGGTGGTGCTATGGTTGGGATTGGAACCAACCCTAGTACTGCCAGGTGGAAGTGTTAACTGTTTAGCCACTGTGCTGCCCATCAAAAGATTTTTCAAGTAAGCTTATATTGGACTGTCAGATATAAGCTATTTGCATTATTACAATTCTGAAGTTATAAATGAATGTGTATGCAGTGACCATAGAACTCCTTTGACATTGCCCTGCTCTACACAAATCTGAAAATAAAAATCTGGGTTTTTCTTAAAGTGCTTGTAAACCTCAGGCATGAAATCTGAACAAAGCAAATTATTCTATACTTTGTACAGCTTTTCCCCAACACCAAGAGAAAAAAGGTGGTTGAGGAAGAGAGCACCAGCACACAGTCTGTGACTGACAACCTCAGCTTTGCTTATTCTCCGGGTATTGTGTGAAGGGGGGAGGGGTGTTTTCCCTTCTCTCCAATTAGGCTTGGAGTTCTTCTCCCTTAGTTGTGCAGTGTGAATTCAAATCCACTGCTTTGTGCTTCTGAGATGCTGGCAGATTCTGTATTAATCTCCATGTTGTAAAAGGCTGTACAGGACATTAGGCAGCAGGTAAACCGGTACAACTTATGTAGAAGGATTTGTTTCAATTGTCATCTAAGGCTAGTCCCTACACTGGGTATATGTAAAGGTTTTCAACCACTTTAACTTTAATTTAATGCCCCATTTACACATGTGATTACATGCAAACAGATGTGTCTGCTGTCAGCCCATCCATTATTAAAGACTGAATGGCTGCGGCTGTTTGGATGCACTTGTACTTCCAGTTTCAGGAATCTGCTGTCATGCCCTCACCCCTGGTTCACATATATGCGGTCATGCGGGCCGTGTTTTTTGCGCGGGCACGAGAGCCCATTCATTTGAATGGACTCCTGTGCCCCATGACATGCAGGGAAGTAGTCCTGAACTTCTGAAAATGCAGCCCACACAACGGAACCTCGGTTCCCAGTACAGTTGCGTTTTCCAGTGCGGGCGGCATGCCATTAGAACTAAAGGCACCCACATTCTTCTGTGCGGTGTTACAGCTGCACGGATTTTCATGCGGATCCGCAGCGGCACCACCTGCACATACAGTTGTGACCAAAATTATTCAACCCCCCACTGAAATTGAGTGTTTTGCCAGTTTGACATTGCTTTTGATCATTCAGTCATCTTGCTTACATTTACATTAAAGAGGCACTTGTAGGTCAGACAAATATAACATAACAGTTATAATGAAATAACCACAAATGTCTTTTCTGTGCTCACAGCATTATCAGTTTTATTCAACCCCCAAGTGACATTCAATCTTAGTACTTAGTACAGCATCCTTTTACAGTTATAACAGCTTTTAAACGTGAAGCATAGCTTGACACAAGTGTCTTGCAGCGATCTACGGGTATCTTCGCCCATTCTTCATGGGCAAAGGCCTCCAGTTCAGTCACATTCTTAGGCTTGCGCACTGCAAACTGCTTTCTTTAAGTCCCACCAGAGGTTCTCAATCGGATTTAAGTCTGGTGACTGCGATGGCCACTCCAAAATGTTCCAGCCTTTCCTCTGCAACCATGCTCTAGTGGACTTGGAGGTATGCTTGGGATCATTGTCCTGTTGAAAGGTCCAACGTCTCCCAAGCCTCAGGTGTGTGACGGACTGCATCACGTTTCCATCCAATATCTCCTGGTACTGAAGAGAATTCATGGTACCTTGCACACGCTGAAGCTTCCCTGTACCTGCAGAAGCAAAACAGCCCCAAAGCATGATTGACCCTCCACCATGCTTCACAGTAGGCAAGGTGTTCTTTTCATCATAGGCCTTGTTCTTCCTCCTCCAAACATAGCGTTGATCCATGGGCCCAAACAGTTCTAATTTTGTTTCATCAGTCCACAGAACACTATCCCACAACTTTTGTGGTTTGTCCACATGGCTTTTGGCATACTGCAGTCGACTCTTCTTATTCTTTGGAGACAGCAAGGGGGTACGCCTGGGAGTTCTGGCACGGAGGCCTTCATTACGCAGTGTGCGTCTTATTGTCTGGGCTGAAACTTCTGTACCCACATCTGACAAATCTTTTCTCAGTTCCTCAGCAGTCACACGGGGACTTCTCTCCACTCTACGCTTCAGGTAGCGCACAGCAGTCGAAGTCAGCATCTTCTTTCTGCCACGACCAGGTAGCGTTTCAACAGTGCCCTTTGCCTTGAATTTGCGAATGATGCTTCCTAAGGTGTCTCTTGGTATGTTTAACATCTTTGCAATCTTCTTATAGCCATTGCCCTTCCTGTGAGAGAAATCACCTCTTCTCTTGTCTTCCTGGACCATTCTCTTGCCTTCACCATGTTTGTAACCACACCAGTAAATGTCTAGAAGGAGCTGAGTATCACAGTCATTTTAAAGCTGCCTAATTGGTGCTTATTATGCTTGATTGCTGCTCGGTGACATCCACAGGTGTTTTCAATACCTGATGGAAAGCACCTGTATGAACCTCTGTTCTTCAGAGTGGTAGTCTTTAAGGGGTTGAATAATTGTGGCAATGAAGAAACCACATAAGAACCATTTACTACTGTATTACATAAACAATTGATGTCATTTTAGTTGCATTTGGGTAGTTACAACGTCCTTGTAGGATTTGATTCTGAAACAATTCCAAATGTACACTATAGTCCCCTAAACCCCTTTACAGCATTGGGGGTTGAATAATTTTGGTCACAACTGTATGTGAACCCTAGCCTAATAGTATAATTATACATTTTTTGCCAGGTGTTAACTTTTCTATTCTATTTTGGTGTTACCTTTGTAAGTGCAGTTGGGCACTCTACTGGACAGAAAATCAGAATATGTGGCCTTCTGTTAATTTTTGATCAATACCTAGCAACTTCATAAGTTACTTTAAATATTTACAAATGTTTTTTCTTTTGTGTTTTCAGAATTCAAACGTTGAAAACCTACCCCCACATGTGATTCGCCAAGTTTACAAAGAGGTTTTCTACTTTGACATCTGATCCTCCAGAAGGAATAAAGATCATTCCCAATGAAGAAGACATAACTGATGTGCAAGTCAGCATTGAAGGGCCAGGTTGGTGTATTGTGTTTTGCAGGGGCCCATGTCTATATGGGTCTATGGTCAGATGAATTTAATACTTCCAAGCAGCGTAATGAGATAATTAACTTTGAAAAGTATTCGTGAGCAGGGTTACTTCAGAAGCCTGTACAAGCACAGTGGAAAATCTGGAAAATAAAAAATTCCTGTCAAGTAATTGCTAAGGAAATATTTTTAACCTGTTCCTGCCTGCCATACGTATATATGGGGTCACTCGGCAGATGGGCTTTAATGCCGAGATGCAGCATATATGCTTCCCAATGTAAACATTTTCTGTGCTGGGAGCTCGCAAACCTGCCTGCTCCTAGCACTGTTACCAGCCAGTACCGAAAAGCTTCCAATGCCTATATGACTGGCAAGCATAGCAGTCACAGAATCGGAATGACTGCCTCTGCCTCCTGGCATTTGGAACCTCTTAAAGGGCTGGGAAGTGGCAATGCGGAGGGGTTAAAGCGGTAAATGTGACATTTGTCAAGTAATTCACTGCAGGTAAGTCTTCCTGGTGCATGTTTTAACTTCCAGGAAATAATTTGCCTTCATTTTCCTTGAATCTTTGGTGAATGTCATATTTAAGGCTTAAGTGAATATTATTTTAAAGCATGGCATTTCTAGCACCCCAAAATTTATATTTTTAACACTCTCAAACATTGTAGTAATAATAATTAAAACTTTTTGAAAGCAATGTGCACCTCAGTAAGGCCTTTTAAATACTTTCAGCAGTAACATGGAACCGCTCCCCTACTGTGTACAGTAGCTCCTCTGTCTGGCCACAGTCCTATCCTATGGGACGGCAGGAGGAAGAACCAAAAGTCAATGTGGGAAATGGATATCTGACACATGGAAGTGTAACATGGCTACAGTGACCAGTCGGGTGGAAATTTTTTAAAAAAACAACTTGTCCAGGGACTAAATCAGGGTCCTAATCTACTTGTCTTATCACAATCTACTTGTCCTGATAATAAAATAAATAAATCTAACCAAAACCGTATTTAAATCTGAGGTGTTTTAGGAATGTCTGGGGCTTTGAGACTTAAACGTTTATTTTTAATATCGAGCAGTTTATCTCCTCCTCCCCTCCCTGTCTTTCTCTAGCACCGCCCCCGGGGACTAGCAGGGAGGGGAGAGACCTTGCAGTGTAATGAGCACCGATTGGGTGCTTGTCAGGAAAGGGGAGTTTTGGGTTTTCTTGCTCATCTGCTGAGCGAGTAAATGAGGTGCCGGATCCAATGGAAAAAACAAAAAACTATTCCTTCAGGTTACCCTCACACATGGAAACACTTGGGTGCTCAGTACTAGCGCCTGCTGAGCAGCCACACCAAGCTCCAGTGTCCACTCTGTTAAAGGATAAGTTCACCTTTTAAAATAAATAAATGCACTTTTGTTTTTTTTCAGGAGCCTATAAAGCATTGCACCAGTGATCAGCAGATCATGGGTGTAATGCAGGACTCCTGCAGACTATCATTGTAATCTGTCCATACATCGCATGGGCAGGCAGTTTCACACTGACAGGAAGAATTCATGAACTACCAGAGCACTCAACAGTGCCATAGTATTTCATTGAGAACTGCAAGCTGACATCCACAAAGGACTCTGAATGGATGGCGCAGCCGGGTGGGCAGAGAGCCGCACTCTTTTCAAACAGTGACAGCTGGTACGAGGAACTTCTTTCCATACTGCTATCAGTGGGCTTGTTCCCGACGATGAACTTATCCTTTATCCCATTTTGCATTTTTTGCACACGTTTTTAAAAATCATTTTAGGCCTGAAGATTACACAGAACCCCCAAACATTGTATATTTTCTGAAAGCAGACACCCTAGACAATAAAATAGTGGTAGTTCCAATTTTTGTCACATATTACTGCAAAGGTCTAGGAAATGGAAAATTTCAGTAAAAAACACACTAGTTAATTTTAGGACATAAGGCAATAAATTACCAAATTTATTTTTTTTGGTAAAATGTAAGATGAGGTTGCACCGAGCAAATAGATACCAAACATGTCAAACCTTACATTTGCGTGTGCTCGTGAAATGGCGACAAACGTTAGTACCCTGTATTTTTTATAGGTGACCCTTTTAAAGCCCTTATAGGTCATCAGTTTAGTGTTACGGAGGAGGTCTGGTGCTAGAATTGCTATCATTCCAGCGTGCTTAGCGATAACATTTAACGTGTCGCAATCGACATTTTCACATGTAGGCTTCTTGACAGTTGTATATGTGGAGGTGCAGGGGGGCCTCAACATTTGGGGAGGCGGGGGGGAAGGGCTTGGGTGTCATTTTACAATTGAGAATCTTTTTTTTTTTTTTTTTTTTTTACATCATGGGGGACAAAAAGTCCCCTGTGTGTGATGATTTTTTTTTGGTTCTCTTAAATGAGACATGCAGGGTCTCCTCTGGGCTCCATTTAATTTAATACAGTGCACGTCGCACCACAACATTCTTTCTCAGCCTCGATGCCCAGGAAATCTGTCAACGGAGACCCGGAAGTGACGTCATACAACTTCACTTCCTGGTCACAGCAAGAAGAGGAGGAATTTGGATATGTGTTCGCTTTCTTCCCTCCCTAATGCACTCCAGCACCTGTTGAGCTGGTCCCAGGCCTGCAGATGGACAGGCGGAGCTCAGGAGACATAGCGGCGGGTTCCGTGGGCTGCCAACTTAGCAGGGTGTGTGGAAGCATTTGGGCGACAGTAGCCGCTGAATGCATCCACCTAACAAGTAAGCCCTGCTGCTTGCCCGCAGCATGGCTAAATGGAAATAAAAACTATCTGCCCGGCAACCGGAACTGCATGTCCCGAGCGCTGGGCAATACAAATCGCACATCCCTGCACCAGAGATCTCTAACACAGCAACGTTTTAGGATTCAGGCTGGGTATAGCTTCATTTATCATGTTGGTGGCAGAAAAAAATCCAAAACCATAGTGCTGGAGCATTCCTAGATATCACCTTTAGACAGTAGACTGGAGTGTGCTTTGCTGCCTTTTATTCCCGTTTACAACAATCTCCCCTCCTGCCCCTGAACAACTGTATAAGGTTAGTCAGCTTGGACTTGCCTTCTCTTTTGCTGATGGTGTCAGAAGTGATGTGGGAGTTTGTAGGAACCATGGAGTGTATCAGGGGACACAGGAGATCAATGCTTTGAGTGTTTATGCACAAACTTCAGTGAAGGATTTCTTTCCAGCTACAATGTTTGTGATCAGTTTTATTTCAAGTAACAATGCAAGTTGCCTGGCTGCCTGACTTAGTACTTTTGAATCAGACCTGGAACAAGTGCACTATAAATAGGTGGCAGAAAAGTCCATATTTTTTCTCTATAGTTACCCAGACAGTGCCAAAAGAGAATCCGCATAACATCCAAAGAAACTAGTATTCTAGCCTAACTCTGTGGATACTGTCTTTAAATAGTTTAGGCCGTGGTCTCCAAATTTTCTAAAGGGCCAGTTTACTGTCCTTCAGACTTTGGGTGGACCGCATTGTGGCCAGTGTAAGTATAGAAAATGCCCTGGGAATAAATAGCGCCCCATCATTGGTAGCAGTGGGAGGAATAGTGCCCCATCGTTGGTAGCAATGGGAGGAATAGTGCCCCATCGTTGGTAGCAATGGGAGGAATAGTGCCCCATCGTTGGTAGCAATGGGAGGAATAGTGCCCCATCGTTGGTAGCAATGGGAGGAATAGTGCCCCATCGTTGGTAGCAATGGGAGGAATAGTGCCCCATCGTTGGTAGCAATGGGAGGAATAGTGCCCCATCGTTGGTGTCAATGGGAGGAATAGTGCCCCATCGTTGGTGTCAGTGGGAGGAATAGTGCCCCATCGTTGGTGTCAGTGGGAGGAATGTGCCATCGTTGGGAGGGGAGGAATAGTGCCCCATCGTTGGTGTCAGTGGGAGGAATAGTGCCCCATCGTTGGTGTCAGTGGGAGGAATAGTGCCCCATCGTTGGTGTCAGTGGGAGGAATAGTGCCCCATCGTTGGTGTCAGTGGGAGGAATAGTGCCCCATCGTTGGTGTCAGTGGGAGGAATAGTGCCCCATCGTTGGTGTCAGTGGGAGGAATGGTGCCCCATCGTTGGTGTCAGTGGGAGGAATGGTGCCCCATCGTTGGTGTCAGTGGGAGGAATGGTGCCCCATCGTTGGTGTCAGTGGGAGGAATGGTGCCCCATCGTTGGTGTCAGTGGGAGGAATGGTGCCCCATCGTTGGTGTCAGTGGGAGGAATAGGTGCCCCATCGTTGGTAGCAGTGGGAGGAATAGTGCCCCATCGTTGGTAGCAGTGGGAGGAATAGTGCCCCATCGTTGGTAGCAGTGGGAGGAATAGTGCCCCATCGTTGGTAGCAGTGGGAGGAATAGTGCCCCATCGTTGGTAGCAGTGGGAGGAATAGTGCCCCATCGTTGGTAGCAGTGGGAG